AGATTGAAAGGGTGCGCTTGGTTAGTGATTATGGAGTGAGGCATGTCATGTGTGTTTAGCAGCGCAGCTCAAGTTGACTGTCTGAACTAGCTTGCAGGCTTCGCTCCATTAGTGGGAGCCGCTCTATCAGATTATACTCAGATGAACTTTATTTGCCTCTTAGGGGCGCTAATCCAAAATGAGATATCCAAAAACACTCCCTATGTTATTTTAAAAAAAATATGGAAAAAAAACTATTATATATATATTAAACTAATATTTCATTTATGACTGTGCAATCATCAGTGTAATTTGAGTAAAGAATATCAGGGAATGTGGTCTCAAGAGAATTTTGGAAATTAAAGCTTTCAGCAAGAAAACACAAGATCAAAAACATACAAGATGAATAGACCTCAAAGTGCCAAAATACACACCACAAACCAGCGAACTGCACATGGACACACGTCAAGTAAGAAGTTTTGAAAACATATTTTTTGGCACCTCTATAAACTTTGCTTCATACCCACTGGCGGAGTCATTTTCTTCAGTGGAAATAATTCAAACTGTGAGCAGAGTACAGCAGAGGCATCCACAGCAGCACTGACCCTCCACTATACCTGCAGCTGCTCAGTCACATCTCAAATATAAAGCCGGCAACAGTCTTTCTGTCAGCTTCAGTAATGACAGACAGCCTGAGGCCGGAGTGAACAGAACTGGCAGCTAACACCCCATTGGCCCCAGTATTACCTTCTTTGTTACTAATTTAAATATTAAATCAAGAATTTATATTTGCATATTCTATTAAACACATTTCCCCAATAGCTGCTATTGTCATTATTTGTTGGCCTGCACATTTGGTTAGTGCAAAGTTACTTTGCAAAGTCACTTTTTTATTTTACTAAAAATATATCTTTTCAGTAAAAACACTAACCCACTTAGCTTTATTTTTTAAAGCATTCAAGAAAAATAAAATATATACAGCACGCTTATATCTCAGTATTTGGTTCAATTCTGTGAAGAAATGTTAATGTGAAGTACAGTAAATAATGTCATAATGCATATTAACGGCCACTAGACAATGGGTACCCCCCATTCTGATCTAATATTTTTATTGTTTTGATGTTGTTCAGTCATAATCCGATATAAGTTCATATGCAGTATCAACTGTAATATTTTAGTAGGTAAATTTATGGTTATGAGAAGTAAGGATCACACAGGCCCTTTGGGCAGCTTATGGGTCCTCCTGAGGCACAGGAGGGCACACATGTCATTCAGTAGACGTAAATGTAATGTTTATGTGCTTGTGTTTCTGTATTTACAGGTGAGCAAGAGTGGTGAAAAGATGTATGAACGTGGCAACACAAATACATAATAAATGTGTAAGGGGAATGGACTATTGGTAAAATATGAGATTACGAGTTTGCAAGTTAAATGAGAGAGGATGTCGTGTACAGTACCTCACTTTATATGCTAATGAGGAAATCAATACTTTAGCCACCTGTAGCCTGCTAAAATAGATGTGTGCAGAATCTTGTTAGTGTGAGTGTGTTTTGAGTGTTACATGAATGCAGACATTTACTGTTTTATGCAAGTTTAAGAGTGAACATGAATGTTTACAGCACATTATTCAGTAGACGTAAACAGCCTGCAAAATGTAGCCACATTATGCTGATGTGCTTGTGTTTCTGTATTTCAAGTCCAAGTGTTCAACAAATAGGAGGATCTATTGGCAGAAATGGAATATGATTTTCATAGGTATGTTTTCATTAGTGTATAATCACCTGAATATAAGCTACGAGTGACGTGAGTGCCTGTGAAAAGTTTTAATTACCTTCCTGTGGCTAATGCTAGTAAAACTGTAAGCTAACTTCAATCAAGATTGAAGAACGCCCCATTATCTCCAACAACAACTTATCCAACTAGCTTATTAATTAGCGGGTTAGAGGGTTGAACTTCAGTGCTGGCTGCAGACGTGCTAACGTTAGTCTCCCTTTCTCTCTATACTCCAGTCACTCACCCAGATACGCTCTCAGGTACCGATATGTGACACAGATTTATTTAATGATAATCGGTACTCAGTAGTACCGATTTAATCTGTTCGGTACCCTTAAAAGAGTTCGGTACCTAATCCTATGACTGAGCAAGAACTCTTTCAAAATGCGTATTGCATCAGCCTATTATTTAAAATCATTAGGGGAAAGGGTGACCCAGTAGACCAAATCTTAACCTGCCAATTAAATGTCTAGGTCTGGTCCTGATAACTTACTCCAGCTGTCACTGTGAAACTTGCTGCTGCCTTTCTTGTCAAGGAGAATCAAGAATCACAGTCTGCTCTCCTGACCATGTGGATAGTGTCTGTTTTAGATGACCAGTGTGTGTGTGGGTCCGGACAGTCAGTCTGGTCCACAATCCTGTCCTATTATCGACCAGCAGCAGGGTGTCTTTATCTCCTGCCATGCACCGAGCTCCTCACTCTGGCAGGCTGTTGGGCAACCCAGTTGCTCTGGCACGGCATCACAGCCTCAGTTTTGGAAAGCGCTCCACAGCCCCGACACTCCTGGGTTGCGCTGAACTTCTGACCCCTTCTGTCTTGGAGACAAGTGTCACCGCTCTGTAATCCTCAAATCCTTTTTCCACCAAGAATTTATCATAATAAAAAATGCATGCCGTTGAAAAGCAGGTACAGCCTCATCCCTGCTTCTGCTGCGAAGACAGCCAAGCTTTTCTCAGTTTCAGAAAGGCATAATTTCTGTGAATTTCCGATTATAGTGGAGAGAGGATGAGTGGGCTCCATTTTTGCCATCTCTACCTACCATCTGTTGTATCTGCCTCATATTGCCTGTGTGTAAAGTAAGCCTGTTTCAGCATGTAAAGCTGCAAGAACAGGCGGAGCTGAATGCAGCT